AAAACTTAATCCTCGCTATTATGTGGCGGTCTGTTGTGGACATTGCGTTTGATGGCCCCCACCGTCCACGCGATGCTCTCATTCACACCATCACTGCAATCAATGTTTGCCTTTAGTTTACAACTCAAGAAACGACTCACAAATGAGTTACCCTTTAAGAGCAGAGGCGGACACAGAGTGGTAATCTCGCGGACCAATCACTTGATTTGAGTTTATGAATATGTCTTTAATTCTGGACAATGATAACGATTCCTATGAAGTGTTTTCAACATGTGTTTAGTTCACCATTTAATCAATGACTGCATTTCAAAGTAATTACGGGAATGTCCTGTTTGTTGGCCACTAGTAGTAGTGGCACACCATTCAGGGCTTCATTTGTAATCATTTTGTCTGAAATGAGAGATAATTGTAATTAAAACATCTCTGAACGGATCCATGTCTTGACACACTCACCAAAAGCTAGTTTCGAGTCTTCGAGTCTCTCTTTGTCTGAAGAGTCGATCACATAAATGATTGCATGAGATTCGGCGAAATACTGGCCAATCACACAGACATGACAATCACTATCATGGAAATGGACATCAAGAGTGGACACAAACCTTATCCCATAGTGTCTGCAGTTCCGTCTGTCCGCCCAAATCCCAGAAGTTAAGTACAATACCATTGGTGTGAATGCGACCGATGTTGAGACCAACTGTTGCGGTGATCTTATTGAGTGCCACCCCTTTGTACTGATGGTTGAGTTGTGTCTTAGACTGCTCCAGAAACGTGGTCTTCCCGGCGTTGTCTAAGCCTAAGATCAACGCAAAGTACTCCTCCTTCTGGAACAGATATTTCCACAATCCATACAATAAGGAAAACATTGGATTCACTGATAGTTAGGTTATGTATGGAAGATATCACTCAAACACATCCAGCCGTCGTCCCACTTCTCGGTGTCTTATTGAATAAAATTAGTTTCATTTCAATTGAAAACAATATTTAAATTCAATGAACACTCAAATCAATGGCTTTTTGAAACACATGTTTCGTATTGACTGTGAATTTCACTCAAAATGTTTTCAATCAAAACAAACTTATCATTCATTTCATGTCAATTACGTCCACAATGACTGTCATTCAATTCAATTGCATTTCATTTCCAATCAAATGTATCTTTTATTTTTAAAAATTCCCTTTAATTTCGATTACAATTATAATAATTAACTAAAATTTTCTCGAAATAATGTGTAAAATATAATAATAATTAATGAATTAATGTATTAGTGATGCACACAATCAGACATTTGGTGATTGTTTGTCAGTCTTGATGGCCTCCAGTTCTTTCATGTCTTGCTTAAGGATGGAGACGAGGTGTGATATGCCCTCCTGTTCCTGCTTCAAGAATGTCTTCAGGTCTGTGCTCAGCCCAGAGTCCAACGACACACACACTCCCGACTGGTGTTGGCTCTGGAGTTGTCTTAACTGAGACATGAGTTCGTTGAGACAGCCCTGGAATTTGGTGGGCGCC